CTGCAGACCAAACCCGGACACATTTCTCAGTTGCCACCGGGTCGATTGTCGGCACTGCGCTGCAGTTCACTTTCAGGAAGTTAAACACAAAACTGTGGAAAGACTTCTGGGCAAAACAAACAATCAATCAATTCCTGGCACACGAACACAGACGCCGATTCTCAGACCGTGCCGGGTGATAATCAGGACGGGTGGCAACCTGTCCTGATTATCACCGCTGTTGGTGTAAGGACCTCCAACGTGGTTACGTCTGTGTATGTACGTTGAACTTCTTTCGCACCGTACGTAGCCAGCCGCGCTCATCGGAGGTGCGGGGGAAGGGCAACAAGGAAGCTTTAGAGGAAGCTCGAGAGAGCTCTTACAGCAGGCACATTGGGCCGATTCTTCCACGCTGATCAGATAGCTTGGGAGAGGCGGTCGTGCCCACACTTGACCGCACCTCCGATTAGCACGGTACGGTGCGAAAGAAGTTCAACACACATACTAACATGCGTACATTGTGGAGGACCTTACAACAACATCGGTGGATGGGTTGCCACCCGTCCCGGTTACCACCCGGCATATTTATCATTGTCGATCAACTCTGGTGTACACACTTACACACTGCTGGGAGTACGGAGGCGGTGGGAGTGGGCCCCATTTAAGAAACACGCCAATTGTTTAATCTGTATGTGTTTTAAACACCCACATATTACATTTTTAAGCAGCTGTTTTTTATAATTACTTCCACTCCAAAAAATTGTATGCGTACGAGTACAGCCCCCATTCTAATATGTATGCTAATATAAAAGAATAAAAACACATCTGCACGGATTAATTAACTTTGGTTACGCGCGAATGTCTCTGTGTTTTTGCTCGGCAAAAACTGTGGCCCCACAAATCGTGCAGTCGTTTTTTTTCAGGTTCGTTTTTTTGAAAGAGCTCAACAGGTGACACTTATCGTCGTCATTATCATCATCATCAGCGATGATCAAATCCGCTGCTGGATGAAGGCCTCCCCAAGCCATGGCACTCCCTCACAGTCCTTGCGATCCACCTTGGCAGCTGCGCACGAGCCGATTTCACAACTCCATCTCTACGGTGGATGTGACCGTCCTTTGGCTGTCAAGAGCGGTGCCCGTGCCCAAGTGTACGTTCACCTTTTCTGAAGAAAACAAAAAAAAACGATGCTTCCGTTGTGCATTGTTCTCCAAGCCGCGCTCTCCACTTTCTTTCAAACAACACGCCGATTAGCACGGTTGGCTACGTACCGTGCGTAATAGGTTCAACCATACGCACGTAACATACAAACAAGACGCAGAAATGTGTAAAAAGCACATGGCCATTTGTGCATATGCCCAAACAAAAAAAAAACACTTAAGTATTTCCTGAAGAAGTGAATGTCTTGTCGTAGATTACCATCAAAACGCATTTCAGCAAATGTAAATGCATGTTGTTTTATCATCATTGCATGATGCTACTGACAGCAGCAGCAGTGATGCAATGATAAGACAACTGTGGACCGGTTTCGTTCTCATCGCGACTCATCAGCACAACAAAGCCACCAATGCCCGCTGCCGCAAAATCCACCTCTGGGCACCACGCACGTGGAGTCCCCGCCACCACACGCTGGGACCCATCCATTAGCAACAGCAGTGACATCTGTTGTGACGAGATAATCCCATCACGGCTGAATGGAACTGCAGGCCGGTGGGTTGCGATGGGTTTACTCTGCAATGTTGGGTCCATTTTTTAATCATCATTTCTAGATTTGGTTACGGTTATTATTTCTGCCTCTCAGCATATTGCCAAGCATGCAGCTCCCCACGCTTTCTTTTTCGGCTTTTGTTTAAATTTCTTCGTCGTTGTCCACGGTTCTCGAGCCATACGTCATAGCAGGTGATATATATATAGTCCGTGGTTTTTAAGGCGACTCGGAATCAAGTTTATTTTTTTTCTCATATCTTAAAATGCCATTATTGATTAATTATTGAGGTGGTTCGGGAAACTGGTAATGTGTAGTAGTGTATAGTGTAGTAGTGTATAGTGTAGTAGTGTATAGTGTACAGTAGTGTATAGTGTAGTAGTGTATAGTGTAGTGTATAGTGTAGTAGTGTATAGTGTAGTAGTGTATAGTGTAGTAGTGTATAGTAGTGTATAGTGTAGTAGTGTATAGTGTAGTAGTGTATAGTGTAATAGTGTAGTGTCTAGTGTAGTAGTGTATAGTGTAGTAGTGTATAGTGTAGTGGTGTATAGTATAGTAGTGTATAGTGTAGTAGTGTATAGTGTAGTAGTGTATAGTGTAGTAGTGTATAATGTAGTAGTGTATAGTATATTAGTGTATAGTGTAGTAGTGTATAGTGTGTAGTAGTGTATAGTGTAGTGTATAGTGTAGTGTATAGTATAGTGTAGTGTATAGTGTAGTGTATAGTGTGTAGTAGTGTATAGTGTAGTGTATAGTGTGTAGTAGTGTATAGTGTAGTGTATAGTGTAGTGTATAGTGTGTAGTAGTGTATAGTGTAGTGTATAGTGTGTAGTAGTGTATAGTGTAGTGTATAGTGTGTAGTAGTGTACAGTGTAGTGTATAGTGTAGTGTACAGTGTGTAGTAGTGTATAGTGTAGTGTATAGTGTAGTGTATAGTGTGTAGTGTATAGTGTGTAGTAGTGTATAGTGTAGTGTATAGTGTGTAGTGGTGTATAGTGTAGTGTATAGTGTAGTGTACGGTGTATAGTAGTGTATAGTGTAGTGTATAGTGTAGTGTATAGTGTAGTGTATAGTATAGTGTGTAGTAGTGTATAGTGTAGTGTATAGTGTAGTAGTGTATAGTGTAGTGTATAGTAGTGTATAGTGTAGTGTATAGTGTGTAGTGTATAGTGTAGTAGTGTAGTGCTCGAGTCTGTTTCCAGGGAAATGGAGGTGTGGACCGCCACTACTCAACACGCAGCCGCCGCGACCCTCACCTCGACAAGCCGACTGAGAAACAAACGACAAATACAATTGTGCAAACAAGCATATAAACTCCATTGAAAACGCCCGATAAAAATCAACTGCTATTATATCCGGTAATTATGCACAATATTACATTATTACCCAAGGTCGACGGGACACTAAAACAATCTTTTTGGATGAACATCACCGTGAGATGATCTCCCTGTGACGCCTTGGAAATCATCCGAACCTTTCCCCCGGCAAATCACCAACATCATTTCTACCATCGCGAACTTTAAATCCAGGGGAACGGTGTCACGGTGGACAGCGCCATGCGCTAAGAGTTTGTCGTGCCGATTTAGATTCCTGGCTACGGCCAACATAAGTGGCATGCGACATATATATGAACCGGTTCTGAGCCCCACCTCCCCCCACCCCCCCACCCAGCTATGCCATACTGCAGTCACTAAGCAGTGTGGTGAAGTATGGTCAAAACACTCCAACGACAAAGCGTACAGAGGGGGCCTTCATCCAGCAGCGGCCTGACAAATGACCGCGTATGATTTACTCAATGATTTGCGATTCTTATTGACAAAACATGGAAAGCAATTCCACACCCAATGCAACAGTGACTTACATGATGATGACGAGAACAACATTACCCAAGATTTGTATATATATAAAAAAAACACACACACACCTTTTTGACACGTGCTATGTTCATCCGACCATTAACAAAATATTATTCCATATTCAATTGAATTGTTCTTGACAACAAAGATGGTGACGGCGATGGTCATGGCGGTGCCGACGATGGCACCGCTAGTTTTGTATCGGGAACGGGAGAGCGGCAAAGGAAATAACAAAAACGTCAAAATTACAAAACGCGAGTTGTAAATAATTCACCGGCCGCGTTGCTAGCACGACGGGGCCCCGGCTCCCAAGAGGGCCCTGGCCGCACTCAAGGCTCGGCGCGCAATCCGGCCTCGAAGGAGGACGCCTTGGCAACTGAGAGAGACCGCGAGGGCGAAACCCCCCCCCACCCTCCCCCCCCCACAAAAAACCCTTCACATTACATTTGGTTCCGCACTTCCGTTTGGCAAAATTTCAGCTCTGAGCAAATAAAACAAATATCGGTTTGAATACCACGCGAGCGACGAACCTCACTCTACTTACGCAACGTGAGAGGGGGTGGGTGGGTGGGGGGGACAATGCTGCTGCCGTCTGCTGTGTGTGGACCAGGGGTCATTTGAAGGGGATCTCGGAGGTTGCTCTACAGTGTCCGCTTCTGTGGGCCGCTTCACCAACAACACGAAGCGTCGCACTGCCCTGAGTCTCGTGACGAAGCGAGAGACGATAGCACAGCGGGGCGGGGGGGGGTTGGTGGGGGGGGGGGGTATAAATGAGGTACAAATTCGCTACTTCGGAGACAAAGGCGCGTGGTGCTGGTCACCCACAACCTCGTGTGCCGTGCCAGCCTTCAGAGGTGCTCGCGAGCAGCACTTGCCCCAACAGTCTGTTAAGGCTATATGGGGAATCTTTGTCTTTGGTCATATGACCCATTAAATGGACCCGCCACAATCACCACGACGTTTAAACAATTGATTTTTGAATCGAATCACGACCCCATGATTCATTATATCACTACTAGACTACTATTTAGCCCGATGACAGACTTTGTGGCGTCAAGCAACAGTGCGCTGAGAGAGCCTTGCGTGTGCTTGTTGAGAGTTAGGGGTACGGATACAGGCAGGGCAGCATGCCTATTAGTTGACGGTGGAGACCGCTCACGGTTTGGTACAGCTTTGTTGGGAATCAATGCAGAGTATTTATTCTCAAGCTTCTGAGTCATCTTCCTTGGTTCTTTCGGTAAAGTCACGTAGAATGAGAATAAAATAACAAATTGATAAAATAAAATAACACAATAATATTCTCACGACGTTTCGGCCACAACACAAGCAGCCTTCATCAGGTGAAGGGACGAGACTGTCTGGAGGACAGCGCTGTCCTACCAGACAGTCTCGTCCCTTCACCTGATGAAGGCCGCTTGTGTTGTGGCCGAAACGTCGTGAGAATTTTATTGTATTATTTTATTTTATTATTTTATTCTCATTCTACGTGACTTTACCGAAAGAACCAAAGAAGATGAATCCTTGCAGTCACGAAAGCTTTAAATCGAAAAGCTTCTGAGTATTAAACAACAAGTTTTTTAACGTTACAAGTCCAAGGATGGGGCTGACCAAACTCCACTCCCTGTGCGTCATTGTACGGAGTATTTCACTTTACAATCTCTAAATGGTGACAGAACTGTGGCGCAGGGCAGGGCGTGGGTATGAGCGTGTGGCAAGCACTCCATCAGACAGAGGTTATTTTATCTCTTTAATTCGCTATGCACTTTCAAATTCAGATTGAAAACCCATTCCTTTCGAGCTGCGTTTTTGTGTTCCGTTTGTTGTTCTTCGCCCGCACCTCCGACGAGCACGGTTTGGCTATGTACGGTGCGAAAGAAGATCAACATACACACGTGCACGTACATTACACACATTCGTCATTCGCCTCGTTCTCCCGGCACGAGCGACTGCAGTGTCGTGTGTTTGACGACGGAGACGGACGGCCGCCGCCGCCGACGGCACGGCGGCACGACGGCGATGAAGAGGCCGACGTTTTCACTCTCCAGGAGGTGGAGGGCGGGGGGGGGGGTGGCCCTTCACTGGGCGCCTCCCTCACGCGCGGAGCCCTGCAGAGACACGCCGAGCAAAAACGCGTCAATCACTCGCACCCCAACGCCGTCGCATAAGAGCCAGCGCTGGTGGCGCGCGCGGGCCCGGCGGCAGCGCTCGTCCACCGCTCGTTGCCCAGAGGTTCGCGGTTTCGGATCCAGCGGCCGCCCTGGTTACTATCACTGTGGCGTGAATTAACCGTGATGACACTGCTACCGCTACATCTATGACGCGCGACGATAGGGATCCCCTGACATCGTTTGCAAGGGTATGCCGATGTGTGCCGATGTCTGGGTCGACGTTTGCCAAATTACGAATGGCTCAATCGGGATTATACACACAGCAGCAATCATCGACTCCTACTGGCAGACTATTTTACAAACAGCTTCCCGTCATCTTTGACGCCCACTGTGAAGCAAGACAGCGCCTCTTGTTCGTTTAACACACCCGCGGTATTAACCAGGGCGGCCGCCGGGCTTGAACCCATGAACCTCCCACAACAAGCGGCACACGTGCTACCGCTCGGTCGTGTCGCAGTTCGAGAATCATCCGGCTTTGCCATTCTTTGGTGCTCACATTAGGCAGAGTTAATCGGTAAGCCACCCCCGATCGGGCGTTCATTCAGTCCGGGCGTTCATTCCAGGCTGAGTCAACCTAGCGGCAATTTGGCCAGCGCCGCGGGTGTGTGCAGCGCGCCGGTTGCTACGACGGCCGTCTGCTGCCATCGAGAAATGGAAGCAATATCAACGAGCGAATGTCGTGTTCATGGCCCCAACACCCACATGAAGGGACAAATGAACATTAATCTGCTGGATTCATGTGTCGCGAGCATGGATAGGGTAATATGAACTGTGTTATCATTATTATGCCTCTTGTCAAATTGTGGCCGCTGGCCTTGACCAGATATTGAATTTTCTTCTTGGCATTTCTACTCCACTCGTAAATCTAGTTCAGTCAAAAACAATCATTATCAAGAAATAATGATGATAATAATTCGAACTTGTGGAGCGCCCTTCATCCAAGGATAAGAGACCTCCGTATATAATTAACATAAAACAACAGAACGAGCATATAAAATTTCGTTTTAAGTAGAACAAAATGTAACGCTGAGTCTTTTTGCGCGACCAATATTATTCACGATTAAGTTTTTTTTCAGTGAAATTAATCCCTGATTGCTGTTACGCCACCCACTATGACCCTTGACTCATTGTGCGTACGTCACAATGCTAGGGCTCTGCCCACATGATCACGCATCCCTTAAAGGGGCACAGAATAAGAGATAATAATAATACCCTTTATAAACAGAGCAATGCCTCGCTGAGTCTCAATTCCCTTTTCCAAGAGCGTCCTGCCTTGGGGGTGTCTTAACAAATCCCCTCCCGCCAACCTCACCCTGGGACACATTACAGGGGGGGGCAAGGGGGAGCTTAACACTCATTAGTTCCACACAGGTGGATTCGATCCACCGCCGCACTGCCATCTTCCGGCGGCGTTGTAGCACCCCGAGCAGGCAGGCAGGGCGAAGGGTTAAACAAAAAAAAAGGTAACTGTCCACATCGGAATTGCCGCAGATTTCTCCGCGGCTGTGCCGTGGGGGCAGCGGCGCGGGGGTGGACAACGCGAGGACGCCCGGATGAAGGCCGCCGCTAATGACATCGCCGCCGAGGGGAGCTCAGCGGCCACCTGCGGGGTGGCCCGAGCGATTGCTCCGCGGGCGGCGGGGGAAAAATAACGAACGGAGCGAAGCAATATTCTGAATTATTTATGGCCCAAGCGGAACCAATATGCGGGGGGGAAATGGGGTTTCTAACAAAATGAGTAGATGACAGAAAGTAGTTCCTCACCGATTTTCATACTAAATTACGCTGCTCAGACATTTATAGGAATAGCGATGGAGATATTCCAGGGATGAGTTTCGGATTCAACAATTTACGTATATCTGGATATGTAAGAAAGCTTTTGGATATATTTCGTGTTTTTAGTTTTTGGATCGTTTAAATAATTTGATAAATGTATCTGCCTGCAGGTCACGAAAGTGACATCACTGTTGGGAGGGAAACAGCGCGGGTGACGTCACGTGTGTGAAGTCGTTTCTCTTTTCGCAAATAGTAATCAGAAATTACAAATTTTCCGATATTTTCGAGGCCTGATTTTCGGATACGTCCAACAATCTGGAGCCCATCCCCAAAGTATGAACTCAACTGGAAGAGACTCAGTTTGTTCCATAAAAAATAAGCAGCAGGTGCATGAACTTTTTCTTATCTCGGCCTATATTCATTTTTACGTGCAGTTCCCACCGTTAAAAGTAAAAAAAAAACTACATTTGCACTTTAAATGCTACGTGTTGTTTGGACTACAGTTTTTCCAATTTTATCTCACATTATTTGAGTTTGTTGTCAGTGCCTCGATCGATAAACTAATATTACCGCGGCTACGTAAAGAGCGCCCACAAAAAACGCAAGAGACGAAGCACCTCTCAAAAACGTGAACACCGGTCATAAATCACAACCCGCCGTGTGGTCACCTTAAAAAAGGGGCAGCATTCCGCACTATTACCTGTTACCTGACACGCCAAATCAATCTCGCTGCGACTGGCCACTCGTCCACTCGCTCAATCAAACGCACGCAGTACGCACGGAGCACACGTGTCACAGACTACAAACACGCTACAGGACGTACGCATGTATGTTCAAAGTGCTTGCCACAAATGAACCACAATAAGTTGCTTGCTGATCTCGTCATGGAGCACAAACCATCGGGCAAACTCCGGTCATCCTCGCAGCGGCTGTTGGCTAGCCGTCGAACAAAGACCGTCACCGCATCGCTCGTTTTCAGATGCTGCTTCTGCGACCGTCTGGAACGCTCTTCCTCCCGCTACTAGGAAGCCACTGGAGCTATGCACCTTTAAAATCTCAATTGAAAACTCATTTCTTGAAAAGTTATTTTTGTATTTAGTTTTGTTGTCCTTCCCCCCGCACCTCCGATTAGCGCGGCTGGCTACGTACGGTGCGAACGAAGTTCAACACACACACACACACACACGGAATAACTTCAACATACGTGTGCTGAACTTCTTTCGCACCAGACGCAGCCAACCGTGCTAATCGGAGCAGCCGAGACGAACACGACCACCGACCACCTCGCTGCGGTTCCTCGCCAGGGCAGAGGGGGAAACCAAGGCCCTGCCCTCCGGCCGCTCTCTCCGTCACGACGCTCGCTTTCGCCTGCAGGGTCGACAACGTCGTCGGCGACGTCTCTGCGAGCGGCCGTGAGCAGCTGGGCGACTGGTTGCTTACAAGTGCAGGGAAGACTCGACAGGGTGGTCCAGATGTCTTGCTACGCCACTTTAATTTTTTTTTAAACTGAATACGTTTTTTTTTAAGTAAGGTTCATTTAAAACATAAATTAACACGCAAAGGAAAAAAAACAAATGTTTGGGGTCAATTAATGGGGGGGAGGGGGGGGTCACAGGACATCTAGACCACTCTATACTTCCGAGGGACCCCCGCTCGGCGACTTGTAGCGATGCGTTGCATTCATCGCACACACGTTTTTGCGAACTATGATTGATTGTTACAATCCCGACATAGGTAGGACGGAGAGAAAGGTGGTGGGGGGGGGGGCGGGGCTAACCATATAAGGGGCGGGGCTCTGCTGTAAAGGGCGTTGCCAGATGCCTTGGCGTACATCCTTGCTGCGCAACTACTCACTCAGAAAGTGGACAAAGCAGTTGCGGGGCAATAGTGATAACGATTTGGTTGCCAAACTGATTGCTCAAGTTTGATGGAGCTGCCTCGAAGCTTTGGTCACTGGAGCACGACTTGCCGTATTAAAGGGGCACGCAAGCTCTTGATCATTTTCCGAGCATTCGAGACGCAGAATCTTCTGGCCCCGTATGATACATGGGGACAGCACCGTTAAAAGCCTCGAGCAATTTCAGTTCCGCTCTGAATTGTGTCAGTCCTTCAAATCCTCATCATGGGTAGGGGTACGTCCAGCTGCCCGCAATCCAGCATTTTTATCCTACCCATTGCTCTATCAATGAGCAGCAACCATTCCTTGTGATGAGCCACATCCGTGGAAGCAGCATGAGTAATAGAACCTGCGCGTGGCTCTATCGCCAAGCAGCAATCATATCTCGTGACGAGTCGCACCTGCAGAGCCAGCCAGAGGTGGCCGGGGCAAAGGCTCCAAATTGAAGGTCGGTGTGATCATTGCAGGACCGTCAAATGAAGAGTATTCAGAAGTGACTGCCATTATGTCACACGAGTGCACCTGATGATTGCTTGAATCTTTACTTTTCCCATCAATGACTCTTCAGATCTGTGCCAGACTGCTCGGCACATGCTGTCTTGGTACAACAACAACGTAGTTATTTAAAAGCACTGCCCTATATTTAATTAAAACATATACAGAGTTGAGTAACGTTGCAGGCAATGGCTCCTTATCTACAGCGTCGGGACAGCTTCTCTCTGCTTTTGAAAGAGGACCATTTGTCGGAGTGTGCAGTGTTTTGTTTTGTTTGCTTGTGCACGACCTCCAACACACCATCGCAATAAAAAAATGGGCCTGTATGATTTTGTTTTCGCACCTCCGATTAGCACGGTTGGCTACGTACGGTGCGAAAGGAGTTCAACATATGTACCATGGTTACATTTTCCTTTAGGGCTTCAATGAACAGCTGTGGCGAGTTCAGTTGCTGAAATGTTTTGGGAAGAGGTGCATCAATAATTAATTGGCAATAAATACTAAATGCCGATCCAGATTGGGTGGGTGAGACCAAGGGACCTTGCTCTGGGGAGATGGCGATAAATACAAGGATCACGAGTTATGTGCAGAATGGATTGGAACTCATGCAGCAGTGGATAGATACTGACAGGTGCTGGCTGTGGCGGCTGCTCAAAGGCATGGACGTGTGAGAGGGAGGTAGAGAGGTCGGTGGAGGGATGTGGGGATGGCAGAGGGGTTTGAGGTAGGGCTGGTGCGTAGATTTACAGGATTGCCGCGATATGGCAAC